AATTCAACCCATAAAATTCTCTGTCATTCAGTGTTTAATATGTTAACATTCTCCATCAGTTGCTAGGAAGGGTATGCATATGTAGCACTTACCAAACATATATTATTACAAATCCTATTTCTCACAGAGCATCTACTGAGACCAGTAATCCTTTAAACATACTAAGGGAAGTACTGGGTGGATCGGGGGAGGACAGAAGTCTAGAACTGATGGTCACAACCTACTTCCTTGTGTCCACAGAGTGATGAGACTTGTGTCTCAAACATCTCCCAATGGGTTCCTCTTAGTAATTTTTTATCCAAGAATTCACCACACAGTGAAAGGTATATGGCTTTGTTTCCGGACTGAAGAGCCTGGCACAGACCTCCTTCAACATATTATTGTCTTCCACCCAGTGTATGCTGAGTGTTGCAGTTTGAGGATGGCAACAAGACAATAGGATAAGGAAGCTTTGACTGGGGAAGGCTGACTGGACTCACACAGGACTAGGAAGTGAAAACACCTTGACGGGGTCACCATGCTCCAAAAGTATATATGGGCTTTTAGGTTATAATACTCATTACTGAACTCATAGGTTATTGGGTTTTGAGCCCTGGCTCACATCTCTAAAGTCATACGAAATTTGTGAAATGTGGGAATGAAACTCAAAAACATGAATTTATTGATTAATATTTGGAAATATTAATTTCAAATGGATGTTTTTATATTGATCAGCACATTTTTCTCCCAAGAGGCATATCTACTTGGGAAGCTAAAATACAACTGTAAGGTTCTTGATGACAAAGAATTGGAGAAAAAGGAGTTACTTGAAATATCCTGCTGCTGTTGTTGTGCGTCTCGAGTGGATTCTGACTCATATGGACCCTAAAGGACAGAATAGAACTGCCCCATAAGTTCTCCTAGGCTATAGTCTTTAAGGAAGTAGGTTACCAGGTATTTTCTTCCATGGTGCAGCTGGTGGGTTCCAACCATCAATCTTTCGGTTAGCATCTCAGCGCTTAACCATTTCACCAACAGGGCTCCCCTGAAATATCCTAATGGCTAGTATATATCCATCTGCAAGGCACAGATATGCCTACCCCTTGGCCTCATGATATTCCTTGGTAACGGGAAAGAAATGAAGGCATTTATCCAATATATTACTCTACACCTTCCTTTTTCTATGCTTCCATGACTAACTCTGTTCTACACTGATATACTGTTTTGGGAGTAAATATCCTTCTTTCATTTCTCTTATCATAGCAATTATTATAACTGATATAAGTTCAAGGAGAAAAAGAACAATGCATTTTTATTTATAATTGTATTCAAATGCTTGACACAGTGTGTGGCTTGCAGTAGACTTTCAATATTTTAAGAACAGTAGCTTTTCTCACATATTCATTTAATCAGTTAATGGACAAGACTTTGTGGTTTTTCTGTCTCCATAAAGTACACAACCACATATTTCTTCTCTGACTCAATATGTTAATTTTATAGTTTAATTCAAACCCTATTGTTTTATTTTCCTATCTTCACATTATTGGCCCCCAATTTTTCTACCTACAACATACAGTACAGCATTCTCCTGGTAGCCTAGGTTTCTAATCCTTTCTGTTAAATAAAGAGGTTCTAAATAGCCACAGAATATTTTTAACCAATTCATTTTTATCTTTTCATGTAGTAGATAAGTAAACTGAAAAACAGATGGCATCAAGAACAGTTTTATACTTATACTAGTAAGTCTACAAATATTTGTGTAAAATAAAGAAATAGCAGTATGGAGCAAGGAGGATAAACTCCATGGGGAGACTATTCCAATAGACTTCAAATTGTTTCAGTTGCAAGGACCAAGTTGATACTACACTTAGCAAATTCTCAAATCATCTCACAAAATACAGGATCCTGTTTAGCACAGCAGGTGTTAACACTTTTTAAGGGTTATTGTCTCAAATCATAGACAGTGAAGAGAGAAAGTAAAACAAGAACACGTGTTTCCTGACTTCTAAATCAGGGATCCATCCCTTTGAAAACAAACCTATAAAGTTTCTGAGGTGATTCTTTTCTTGATCCAAATCATATAGTAGTGGTCCTTTTAAATGAGTGAAGTGTTGTTGGAGAATTGAATCCAACACAAAGATGCTTGTAAAGTATCATTTTGAAAAAGACTTTTATTATTTTTATTATGAGTTTTAATAAATTTATTTGAATTTTTGTCAGTTTTAAAAATAAACATTTCAACAATTGTCAGTAAGTAATGTTCTGCAGCTGGAATAGAACACAAAGATCAACTGGTCCAACTCCCTCATTTAACAGAGGTTAAAACTTGAGCCTAGGAGTTGACTCAATCTGTAGATTTATGGCTTATGGCGGAGCCAAGATGGGAAACTAAGTTCCCAGAAGTTGGTTTAGTACTATCTCCAATCTGACATAAATCAAACCTGATTTTGATGAAGGACATTATGAATTGTTCTCATAAAACTAATTTATGAAAAGGCATAGAGTCCTTTAACTGGATAAAAGTCCATACAATTTTTATAACAATTCTAACATGTTTGCTGTCATTTTTGTTAATTGGGAAAAAATATCCATCAATTCATCTTAACTGTGGGATTATTTCTCTTAAGGGAACTCATATAATTAAGAACTAAAGTCTTCTTTCTTGAAAAAGTGAGATACAGTAGCTTGAACAACTAAAAAATGCATATTATATGTTCTTTAGTAGTCCATGAAACAATTCTGCTAAAGCTTGAAGGCTTTAGAAAGAAAGGAAAGAGTGCATGAAGAAATGAATAACTAAGTTATATACCACAGAACAGTTAGTAAAACTATCACCTGGAGCATTGTGGAAAATAAAAAGCATACCTAAAAAAACTCATGGATCTGGCTGGGAAGATTTCTAGAAAGAGGTAAAATCAACTGGATTCTTCTAAATTCTATGTTAATACATGAGGAGAAAGAGAAGGAACTGTTCACTTTTAGAAAAAAAGTATAGACAACATATAGAGTTTCCAGGACAGTCTGTCCAACCTCCCCCCGCCCCCACCAAAAAAAGTTCAAAAGTAAAAAATGGCCTCAGGGTAAAGGCAAAACCTGGACAGTAAAACCTGGTCTCAGGGTGAAGATGAAGTCAAGGGTGTAGCTATAAGATCCTTGTTTAAGACCTCAGAAAAATTTCAAAGCATGCCTCACAAACTCTCTTTGCTGGGCAACAGGACTTTGAAAAAATCTTTAAAAACGCTATCCCACATCAGCCTCACAGGTGACCCAAGGTAGACAGGGTCTGTCTTGAAAGGAAACGTGGGTGTCACTTTTGGCTAATTGAATGAACTCCCAATAAGAATCATAAGCAGCTCAACAAAGAGTGTGTGTGTGTGTTTGTCTAATGGAGTGCACTCCCAATAAGAACCATAAGCAACTCAAAAATCTACACTCCTTTCATTGAGAGATGAGTCTTTTCCCTCCCTTTAATCCTGGGAAGGTGCCCTGGTGGCGCAGTAGTTAAGCACTCGGCTGCTAACCGAAAGGTTGGCAGTCGAACCCGCTAGCCACTATTTGGGAGAAAGATGTGGCAGTCAGCTTCTGTAAAGATTACAGCCTAGGAGACCCTATGGGGCAGTTCTACTCTGTCCTATATAGTCACTATGAGTCAGAACCGACTCGACAGCAATGGGTTTTTTTTTTGATCCTGGACAGGCCTATGGTTTCTTTGTCCAATGGAATACCTCGGGAGTGATGCAGAAGTGACGCTGTACCTAGCCAGGGCCTAGACTTTAAGATCACTGGTGCTTCTGCTATAATCCTTTGTGAATCTGAGCCACCACGTGAGAAATCTGACTGAGGCTACGGCTAAGAAGAGGCTATGGAAAGGGGGCGGGGTGAGAGAGAGGAGAGAAAGAGAACCAGCCAACACCCAGTTGTTCCATCCCCAAGCCATTACAGTCACCCTAGCTAATGCACCAGATTTAATGGAGCAGAAACAAGTACAATATCCCCTGTCTGAATTCCTGAGCCATAGAATTCTTAGACATAGTATTGACAAATAATTCGTTTAAGCCAGTAAGTTTTGGTGTAGCTTGTTATGTATCAGTATCCATATATTATAACCAAAGCACTTATATATGAGTTCATAATGTGCATAAGACATTGTGGCTTGCAAAGAGTACACAAAGTTCATTGAAGGTGAGAAATATTTAGTAAAATACGATTTTCCACTTCTCTAAATCATTACCAAACTAATCTATTGTAGTACAATGACCATGATTCATGGGAAAAGATGTCTTGTCAACAATTTGATGAAATATAATTATTAACTCTAAAAGAAAACTTTTAAAATGAACACTACACCAAACAGACTTACTCTATCAGGTAGTATACGAGCTCAATTAATAAGGAAGCAGTCAACTCTAATAATCTGGGTTATATTCGGTTATATAATGTGGATTCACAAATCATGACATCTTTTACTTATTAACTTTTCAAACAGCCTATAGAAGAGAAGGGGACACATACTGAGTTTCTGATTACAGTTCACACCCTATAGATGGCTCTCAATCTCTCTTTGCCTGGTAATACTATTGAATCACTCTTACTTGTGCACGATTTTTTTTCTCTAAATTTCCAAATGTTTCTGTTTCATATAAATTAGCATTGAAAAAGTATTTCAACTCACATTCATAGTCGTATCAACTCTCATGTATCTATCTATTCTTTTATCTATAATTAAATCTGGATATTTGGATTTATACTGGAAAAGTCACAAAATGACTGTGTTATGATCATGAATACTTACCTTCTAAAAAATGAGTATGGAGCTGTTTCTCAGCAGGTCTCAGCTCCACAGGTAGGCAAACATCTTCCGCCCTAAGCACCTGCGCACGGAAGACACGCAGAAAGCGGAAGAGGCGGAGCCTAGAGCGCAACAAAGCTCAGGAAACCGTTGGAACCGCCTGGGTCACGTGTGCAGGTCGTTACCACGCCTGTTTGGAATTCGCAGGGCTCCGGCTAAGGTCTCGAAGGCCATGAGTTACGGTCGCTCTCCTCCCAATGTGGAGGGCATGACCTCTCTCAAGGTGGACAACCTGACCTACCGCACCTCGCCCAATACTCTGAGGCGCATCTTCGAGAAGTACGGGAGCATCGGCGACGTGTACATTCCGCGGAACCACTTCACTAAAGAGTCCCGTGGCTTCGCTTTTGTCCGCTTCTACTACAAGTGTGACGCCGAGGATGCCATGGACGCCTTAGATGGGGTCGTGCTGGATGGTCGTGAGCTTCGGGTGCAGATGGCCCGCTACGGTCGCCCCACAGATCCCTACTATGGCCGCCGGGGAAGGCCATCCCGCAGGTACAAAGAAGATGACTATGAAAACAAGAGCCGCAGGCCGTGGCGTCCTTGTCCTAGCCGTTCCTGTAGCAGGAGCCGGTTCCGATCCAGGAGCAGATCGCGCATCAGCCTCTCAAAGTCTTGGTCTCGCTCTCGATCCTGTTCTCGCCTTCGCAGAAGATCTCGATCAACCTCTACATCCCGATCTACCCGAAGATCCCGTTCCAGGTCCTCCTCAGTGTCAAGATCTCGCTCGCTGACCAAGTCCAGGTCAAGATCAAGGTCAAGAAGCCTTCCAGCAGGATACAGGAAGGAATACAAATCCAGATCGCGATCCAGGAGTCTCCGCAAGCTCCCAGAAGAGGAAGGAGATTTGTCCTATTAAAATAATGATTCATAGGCCAACCAAGTAACTGAGGACTTGGAGGGGTGGGAGGAGACAAGACCATTTATTCAGTCCACACCAAGAGTCCTTGGAACAAGCCACTAACTATTAAAGGTTATTTCATAACATGTTGTCTAACTTTTTACTTGATTTTAAGTTTTGCCTCGGGGGTAAGCATTTTATGTGGTATTTGTTGCTGTTACTCAAATTTCTTGTAAGCTAGTGAGGTGAACGACTTCAGTTGTCATTATTGGTTTGGATACTTAAGGTAAATTTTCATTCTTTCTTATATAATACTGACTTTTTTGCTTGAAAGTAAGTTTGGTAACCTAATATGTGGTCTCCTGACTTAAGAAAATGTGTGCAACCATTTCTTGTTGAGTAGCAAAAAAGTGTTAAGAGATTGACTAAATATTGTCTTCGTTATTTATAAAATTAAAGACCTATAATAGTTTATGTAAGTTTATTTGTGTATGCTACTTACCTTCAGATCTAAATGGTAGTCTGAACCCATATTTGTAGAAACACATTTCAGGTGAAAATACTTGACTCTTGGAAAGAAGTATTTACCAAACAACAATTCTAATCTTTTCTGTGCTTTTGTGTACTAGGCACAGTTGTATAGCAGTTGAGTTATGCTGGCTTAGTTATTAAGGTGGTGTTTTGCAGTGCCCAGTACTTAGCTATTTCCTGTTTCTCCTGGTTGTTCCTGTGTAAAGATGGCTTGTTATGCAGAAACAAATGGCTGTTCAGTTTATTAAAATGACAACTCCACTTCTAGTCACCCAGGCCTTGCATATAAATAACAGTGAGCACATCTAGAGGATGAGAAATATACCTTTATTTTTACCTCTCACCCACCAAATGGTAAATCTGATCATCTTCATTCATGGGGAAACCCTGGTGGCATAGTCGTTAAGAGCTATGGCTGCTAACCATAAAGGTCAGCAGTTTGAATCCACCAGGCGCTCCTTGGAAAGCCCATGGGGCAGTTCTACCCTGTCTGACGCGTAGGGTCGCTGTGAGTCAGAATAGACTCAGTGGCAATGGGTTTGGGGTTTTGTTTGTCATTTATGAACTTAAATATGAAAAGTGTTAATGAAGCAAATAAGTATTGATAATATGGTGTAATCTTTTTGCTTATGCATGTTCTGTACTGTAGCCACTTTGGGGTTTAATTAAAATATTTTTCTTGGTTTTAGCTTTAAACATTAAAAATTTAAAAAAAGATCGATGTGATTTTCTTTCAGAAAGTTGTGAAACAAAAAGACCTTGAGGTCATCCTTCTCAAATGTTTGATAAACAATAAATTATCAAGACAACAGAGTAGGAACTTTCAGAGATCCAAGGTGTAAATATTTTAATTTAGCAAGCTGTAATTAAAGTTGCACACGTCTGCTACTACCTCACAGCTTTGCTCCCCAAGGTTGTCATGACCTTCTACCGTCTCTACTCAGAATCTTTTTGAATAGCCTCCTATGACTTAATAGTCCATTTTAACTTACTAGCTTTGAATTAATGTTCTGGGAGACAGTTATTCCTGGCTTGACTTTGGAATTTGGGCCTGCTCTGATTCCCTTACTACTGTTTTAGCTCAGTATCTCTCTGATACTAATTCTAGTCCCACTCAACCTTTCATCTTCATATGGTTGCCAGTTCAGCACCCTGGTTCATGCATTATTTTCAGTTCCCACTGCCCAATTTTCTTTATCTGAGAAACTATCAGACATTAAAAAAAATAGATTCAACCTTCTCATATTACAACTTAAGAAACTGTAGATTAAATGATTAGGCAAGCAATTATTGGTAGACTTCAACCTGCATCCCTAATTCCCAAATAAATGCTCTTTCCTATACCGGCAGTCCTGCGTTACAAACAAGATCCGTTCCTAAGTGTGTCTTTAAGTCGAATTTGTAGGAGTCAGAATCTACTCTACCGCAACGGGTTTTTTTTTTTTTTTTCTTTCAGAACAGGCATATGGTTGTTATTTAGCCTTACTTTGGGGAAACCCTTGTGGTGTAGTGGTTGAGAGCTACAGCTGCTAACCAGAAGGTCGGCAGTTTAAATCCATCAGGCACTCTTTGGAAACCTATGGGGTAGTTCTACTCTGCCCTATAGGGTCACTATGAGTCAGAATCGACAGCAACAGTTTTTCGGTTTTTTAGTGCAAGGAAAGGCTCGAAGCCTTTTCAATGCTTTAAAAGCTGCACGTGCAGCAAGTGAAGGTGATTGTGATGAAGAATTTGTTGCGAATAGCGGTTCAGTCGTTTGAAAGTGAGGGCAAATTTGTATAATATTAAAGGGCAAGTAGGAGTTGTCCATAAATCAAAAGTTCGTAACCTGGGGAATGCCTGTACATTGAATTGTCTCAGTATACTGCCTTGTTTTACAGTATATTGAAGAGTGTGTTTGTGTGTGTGTGTGTGTGTGTGTGTGTGTGTGAGGTATTTGGGAATAAATATTAAAAACAATACTATTTTAGATAAGAATTATAACGTTGCAGGGCCTCAGTATTTGAGAATAAACACATTCTCATTGCAGAGGAAATTTCAAAAATTAAATGAATTATATCTAGGAGCTCAGGCTGCTAACCAACAAGTCAGCAGTTCAAATCCACCAGCTGCTCCTTGGAAACCCTATGGGGCTGTTCTACCCTGTTCTATAGGGTCACTGTGAGTTGGAATCGACTCGATGGCAACAGAATTATTACCCATTGACATTGAGTCAATTCCGACTCATAGCGACCCTGCAGGACAGAGTAGAACTGCCCCATAGGGTTTCCAAGGCTGTAATTTTTTTTTAAATTGTGCTTTAGGTGAAACTTGACAGAGCAAATTAGTTTCTCATTCAACAATTTATACACAAATTGTTTTGTGACGTTTATTGCAATCCCTGTGATGTGTCAACACTCTCCTCTTCCACACCTCAATTCCCCATTTCCATCCGTCCATTTTTCGGCTGTAAATCTTTATGGAAGCCGACTGTTAAATTTTTCTTCCATGGAGTGGCTGGTGGGTTCCAACCACTGACCTTTCAGTTAGCAGCTGAGTGTTTTAACCACTGCACCACTAGGGTTCCTTCTACTATTACTAGTAGCCAGAAAGTACACTTAAGTCAATGGTTATTAACCTAACCAAACATCTGTTTAAACAGCTGAAACACACATGCACACACACACATCTCCTCATACTAATTAAGACTTTGCTAAACTTAGGCCTCCCACAAATCCCACCGGGGAGTTAATTGGTCACATAACATTATCTCACTCTTTATTAAGGTATCAGTGAAAGACATTTCAGTTCCCACCAGGACCATTTTCTTTCTTAATTTAAACCAAATATTCAGTGGTACTTTACTTCAGGATATTTTCTCTTCATTTGAGAATTAAAGGAATGTTATTGGGCCAAGGTATCAGAATACATTGTACAATATATGAAACAAATATAAAAAATAGGGACATTTTGAAAGGACTTTATGGTACAGAAAAGCAAGGCAATTCCTCTAACAGAATTAACATTATATGCCATAACCACATTTAATTCATAATCAAATGAAAATGGTTTTTCATTCAACATAATTATACACAATGTCAGTGCCTAATAAATACTAAACGAACGATTGACAGAAAAAGCAAAGTTGTGTTCTATATTATTTTCATAAAAGACTGAACCCAATTAAAACCTACATTATATAAACATTAACTTTATAGAATGGGCAATCTCAAGTAAGTTTTGCATGGTGAATTTATTAAAAATCACTTTGATATTTAACTAGAAATACTGATCACATCACTCCTCTTTTGCAACTATTAAGGCCCTTTCAATTGTGAGTGACAGAAATCCTTCAGGAACAAGCTTATATAAAAGATGTAATACATTGTCTTACAGATCTAAAAAACTTCAGGTACATTCTGGCTTCAGGTATGTCTCAAATTATTCTCAGGTATCTGTCTCTTTCTCTGTACTTTTCTTTCTGTCTCTTCCTTTTTATTAGTTTTTGTCATTCTCAGAAAAGATGATCCCAGAAATCTTTAGGTTCCACCAGCTTAGTAACCATAGTGGAAAAATAATTTATTTACAGTAGTTCCAGCTAACATCTCAGATTTAACCCTTATTGGACAGCTTTTGGTCACATGCTCATGCCTAAAGCAACTACCATAACCAGCAATATGCGATATGCTGATTTGATAAGGCTGAGTCATGTGTCCATTCCCTTAGCCATGGCAATGAACAGCTGCACCTAAACCACCTGGACTAAGGTTGGGGAATGGGTTCCTCCCTACTGGAAAATTAGGGTGCTGTTACCATTAGAATGTTAACTGGATGCTAGGTAGGCAAAAAAAAAAAAAAATTCCATTCATTGTCCTCAATAAATAACAAAACATCTTAATTCATGTCCTATTTCCTGTAGGAAAAAATCAAAACCCAACTTATAGTCTGTGTCAATTATTCCTTCTTGGTTTAATTTCACATTTCCACCCCAACCCCAAATATGTGGGTGGCCACACAGTTTCTCAAACAAGCCAAGGTCATTCAAATGTGTTCCTTCTGTCTGACATGGTCTCTCTCCACCAACACGTCCCCCAACTGCCACTTTCCACTGCAGAAACAATATTTGAAGGCTCAGATTTAAATGTAATATCTTTATGAAACATTTCTTAACTCCCACTAAATAACCAATGTCACTACATTTATACATTGCATATATAAATCTATTACAGCAATATATTGTATTTTGATTATTTGTTATGTGAATGTTTCCCTCACCTGGAATGTATTTCCCTTGGAGTACAAGTCTGTATTCCCAAGGAAAACACATTTGACATATTTCTAGTGGCTAGGACAGAAATTGACTCAGTTTATGTTGGATGAATTAATTTATTGAATAAGTCAAATTGAATAACATTTCTCAAATTCAGTAGCCAAATCCTGCCTTAACGTGAAGAAACCTGAATGAAGGATTCCAAAATAAGTGTTAAGAGGGACTGGTAATGTTAATTAATGAGTCCAAAAGCTCTTAGAGATCTCCTTTAGATAGCATTGCAAATAATCATTTTCACCACACCATCCTCGCTGCACTAACATACATAGAAAAAAATTAGCAAAGTCAGCATTCATTACCGGAGGCAAAATAGCCATTATGGATCTGTTTTCAAAGTCCCTGTGACGTTCTGGTTCGTTTTGTTTGAGTTATATTTACAATATTTATAACTAAGGAGAACAAAAATGAAACTGGATGCCTTTGTAGAGGATTCCTTAAGGAATTCTCCGGGTTAGCAGCAAACCTGCCAAAGCTTTTTAACAGAAGTTTGAGGGATTGATTGTACAATGCAAGATGAAGCCATTAAGAATTAAAAGGGAGAGGGACCAACCGAAGAGATTCAGCTAGGGCCCTGGTGAATTATCAAAAATTGTGGGCCTTCTTAGTGAGAATCTATGATTTGAGGAATTCATGAAGAGAAAAGACCGAAGTCCCTGGGCACCTGAAGATGAGAATTATTGCATTTAACTAGGAAGACTTAGGTATGACACTTTGAAGAAGGCAGGCGTATGTAATGTAACTACTAGCTGCATTCAGGGTCCTGTAATTTAGCTTAAAAATAATTGGAGCATATCAGAGCCTGAAAAAGCCTCCTGAAAAATCTGAAAATAGGCTCCCCTGGGAGCGAGGAGATGCAGGACAGTGCTTAGTATACAATATCAAACACACCCATCATCGGCGGGTTGATTCCTATAGGACAAAACAGAACTGCCCCATGAAATTTCCAAGGAGCAGCTGGTGGATTCGAACTCCTGACCTTTTGGTTAGCAGGCAAGCTCTTAACCGCTGCACAACCAGGGTTCTTAGCATACCGGAAGTGCTCAGCAATATTTACCGGTTTTGAATGAAACGAAACCTAACTAGAATCCAGTTCCGGTTTCATAACAAAGGGGAAGAACGACTGCCTAGGCAACGGATCCTAGAGGGGCTGGGCTAGAGGCCGGCCTCAACCGGAGATTCACCAGAGGCTGGAGTAGCGGAAGCTTGTAGGAGCTTCTCCCGTGGCGGATCCGAACCCTAAAACTGAAGCAGGAAGTGAAAAATGCTAAAATCCAGTTTATTGTTTTTCAGCACTATGTCTTAGTAGTCAGATAATTATCCACTTGTTCATCAAGATGGAAAACTCAGATTCCGACGATGAAGAAAATGAGTCTGCAGCCCACCGCATAAGTCAGGTGGACCGATTAGCTCGGGAAGAAGCTTTCTATCGATTTGTAAATAACCTGAGTGTAGACGATTACAGGCTTATGAGGGATAACAATTTGTTAGGTACCCCAGGTGAAAGTACTGAAGACGAGTTGCTGGAAAGACTACAAGAAATTAAAGAGGACCCGGCACCAGAATACTCAGGTGAATATTGAAGCATATTTTCCTATGGGGTGGGGGAGGTGAAATGGATAACGAACTTCATAATAGTAAGTATCAAAGATTACACAAAAATGGCACAGATTAATTTGAGATTAAGTAACTGCTCATTAAAAGAAAATTAGCATTGTGTTTAGTGAGAATGTGAAGGTGGGATTTTTTTGTTGTGCGTTTTTTTGTTTTTTCTTTCTGCTTCACATTTGGGTTATTTTAATTGGGACACACAGAGGTCAAAAATTTTTTTTTCTTGGTTTCTCACCTCGACTGGAAATTTCTCCCACTTCCTGAATTATTGCTTCTATATAGACATGTGACTTCCTCACCAACAAAAAGAAATATTGCATACTCTAAGTGATTCTCAACTGGGGGTGATTTTTTTTTTTTTTTACATTTTTTCATTGTACTTTAGATGAAGATTTACAGAACAAATAGTTTCTCATTAAACAGTTAGTACAGATACTGTTTTATGACAGTGGTTAACAACCCCAGGACATGTCAACACTGTCCCTTCTCAACCTTGGGTTCCCTATCACCAGCTTTTCTGTTCCCTCCTGTCTTCTAGTCATTGTCCCTGGAATGTTGTGCCCCATTAGTCTCGTTTTGTTTTATGGGGCTGTCTAGTCTTTGGCTGAACGGTGAACCTCGGGAGTGACTTCATTACTGAGCTAAAAGGGTGTCCGAGGGCCATACTCTCGGGGTTTCTCCAGTCTCTGTCAGGCCAGTAAGTTTGATCTTTTTTTCTGAGTTAGAATTTTGTTCTACATTTTTCTCCAGCTCTGTCCGGGACCCTCTGCTGTGATCCTGGTCAGAGCAGTGAGTGGTGGTAGCCGGGCTCAGTACTGGACTCAGTCTGGTGGAGGCCGTGGTAGTTGTGGTCCATTAGTCCTTTGGGCTAATCTTTTCCATGTATCTTATTTTCTTCATTCTCCCTTGCTCCCGAAGAGGTGAGACCAGTGGAGTATCTTAGATGGCTGCTCACAGGCTTTTAAGACCCCAGACACTACTCACCAAGGTAGAATGTAGAACATTTTCTTTATAAACTATGTTATGCCAGTTGAGCTAGATGATCCCCGAGACCATGGTCCCCACAGCCCTCCGCCCAGAAATTCAGTCCCTCAGGGAGTTTGGATGTGTCTATGGAGCTTCCATGACCTTTCCTCATATAAGTTGTGCTGGCTTCCCCAGTATTGTGTACTGTCTTACCCTTCACCAAAGTTACCACTTATCTATTGCCTATTTAGTTCCCCCCCCATGCCTCCGATTCCTCATAACCAACAAAGATTGTTTCTTTTTGTGTGTAAACTTTTTCATGAGTTTTTACAGTAGAGGTCTCATACAATATTTGTCCTTTTGTGATTGACTTATGTCACTCAGAATAATGTTCTCCATTAACTGGGGGTGATTTTGCTTCCCCCCTCCCTAGGGGACGTTTGGCAATGTCTACGGACATTTTGGTAGTCACACAAGGCCTCACAGCTCCCATTAAAGTATGAAAGCCTTTCATTGTCATTGTCAATTTGCCAGATGTAACAGGAACAAAGAATGTTCCTATTAAATTTAGGAAGTATACTGAGTCAGCATCAAAGGGATTCTGGATCCATTCATTACAGTGGTTCTCAACCAGGGCAGGCCATTTTGCCCACCCCCTTGGAGGCTTTTGGTAATGTCTGGAGATGTTTTTGGTTATGACACTGGGGTGCGCTGCTGCTACTGGCAACTAGTGGCCAGAGGGCAGAGATGCTTCTAAACATCCTGCAATGCACAGAGCAGCCTCCCACAACAAAGAATTATCCAGCCCAAATGTCAATAGTGCTGAGGCTGAGAAACCCTGCTGTAACCTCACGTCTGGTATTTCCCTCCCAGTATGAAGTAGAGAATTTTACTTTTCTAACTAAGAGGCTACTATAACAGTGTGGTTCTTGAGCCTGCCTTTATATGTATGATGCTAGGTTCAGTCTGTTCATTTGGTCTGACTGTCAATTCCCTGTCAATTCAGTTCAATAAAATGTATTCAAATAGTTTCAAACATATAAACCTTGTCTATATTTTGGCAATAGCTACAACAGTCTTGTATTTCAATTTAACCTCATGTATTATCAAAGGCACTTAAGAACCTAGAAGAACTAATGTAGACTAATGAGAATTTGACAAAAATTTGAACTAAAATACTGGTACTGTAGCTTACTGGTGCTTACTTTGTTTAATTGCATTAGTGTTTTGATAGTGGACTTACAAAAATTGTCTTTTGATATTCCTCCCCTCCCCACAGTGTATACTAGGCTCTGTATATGATGAAATATTAAATATTGGAAGTAGACTTCTTCCAGATTAACCTTTAAAAATTTTTTTCTAAATTTCTCTAGGATTAGCTTACTTTTTAAACATCAAATTGAAACTTTCCTACCTTTACTTGTAAATCTAGACAGTGTAGTTTACAAAAGAATTCTGTAAATGTAATACCTGTTTAAAACATTTGGCATTTTAAGTTCTCGTTTTTGCAGTATAGTATCAGAGCACTATTTTATGATTGTCCTAATTTTAGTATTTCCTCCCCCACCCCCAATTTTTGTTAAAAGGTGGAGGAAACTCTCCAGAGGAAGTGTCTAATAGTGACTCCATTGTAGACTGGCTTAGCACTTTTGGACAAATTGAAAATACAACAAGAAGTGGGCCAACAGAAAACGAATCTTGGAGGGAAGTCAGCCAGACTAGTCCTAACAGTGGGGATTTCAGATTCAGTTTAGAAATGAATTTTGACCATAATGGGAGCCCAGATCCAGAGAATGAATATGCACCATCTGCAAGATTTTCCAGGAGAGAAAATATGGAAAATAACAGCCAAAGGCAAGCGGGAAATCCACTCTCTCAATCAACATTTTCATGGCTAACTAGAGCTGAACTAAGTGCATTTTTAACAGGAGAAGTCATACCTATACCTATCAGAGGACAGAAAAGGCCGAGAAGCATGAGCCCCGAGCATCAGAGAACCAGAGCAAGAGTTGAAAGTGGGTCACCTCTGAATCCAATGAGTGAAGTTTCACAAAGATCTCATCATATTGCTTCGTCTCAGACTTTTGAGCATCCTCTAGTCAATGAGACTGAGATTTTTTCTAGAACCCAGCATCATGAAACACTAAGAGAGCAAATAACTGGAACTGACTTGCAAAGTAGGAGTCTTTTTACAAATTCTCGAGCAGTGGATGCCTCTCAAGGAGAAAGTTCTCAAGACACAACCAGCATTGAGGAATCTTGGGGATCAGAACACAGGAACCCAACCATGCTCTTAGATGGTGAAGTAAGAAGAGTTCGTTCTGAAGAATATTGGCAGAGAGACAGCATAGCTAGTACAGCTCCGTTAATATCTCAGACACCAAGCAACAACATCACTTACGAGGGTGAACAAGGAGGTTTCAGGCATGTGTTTTCACAGTCTGAACAGCCAGGTGTGAGAACTTACGTCAGTTACATCAGAATCCCCATTCATAGAACTTTAAATACTGGTGTAAGTGATACTACATCTGATGCAATTCAAAGCACAGTAAGGCAGGTGATGACAGGATTTGATGAGTCAAATGACTTTATGCACAGTGATACTAATTTAGAGCATAGTGGCTCATCTCCAAGTCAAAGTATAGAATATGCAGAGTCAGAGAATGGAAGTGATGGTGGTTCTGATGGCATTAGCCATTCTGGTTCTAATTCGAACCCTAGCATTCATTACAGTCCAAGTGTTACATCAATTCCCAGCTCAATCTCCAGTTACATTTCTAGTTCAAATTCTAGTCCAATGTCCGTTTCCAGCTCCAGTGATGAAATTTCAGAAATTAGCTCAGAGTTATTTGAAAACAGTAATCAAGGAAGTATAGCATCAGGGTCATCATCAGGAGCCAGGCAAGAGGGTCAACATAGGGCCCCATTAATATTGGATGAAAGTGACCCTTGGCCCTTTCTTAACCTGGCTCAGTTTTTCCACCTAAATGAAGGTAATCAGGATCAACCTACAGGACTCACCAAGGCACAGATTGACAACTTGGAAGTGCGAAGCTTTGGTGACCCTGATGCATTAAAATCCTGTAGCATTTGCATCACAGACTACACAGAGGGCACCAAGCTTTGCATACTACCTTGCTCCCATGAATATCATCTCCATTGTATCGATCGCTGGCTGGCTGAAAACAATACCTGTCCAATTTGTCGCCGTAAAGTCATAGTTTCTGGTGACAGAGAAAATTTTGAGATCTGATCTCTCAGCTCTATATACTGTATCATGACGGACAAATAGCACTCACTTGCTTTTTGTCCATTTTTTGAGTCATGCTTAAATGTAAAGTAACAACCTGAATGGAGTCATTGATTTCTGAAGGAATCATTGTTATTTCCCCAATTTCTGATTCAGAATAAAAGGAAATATTTTAAAAAATCTTTAACCTGACAATAGTAATCAATTCCACACCACGGCGGGTCACTGAATTTCTATAGAAACAGCAGGTACACTGGGTTGGGATGTTCCTAATTCCATGAGAGAAAGTCTTAAAATGATACATTCAATTCTAGATAGATTTGAATTTAAAAAAAAAAAAAACCTGTTGCCATCGGGTGGACTCCAACTCATAGCGACCCTATAGGACAGAGTAGAACTTCCCCATAGGGTTTCCAAGGCTCTAATCTTTACAGAAGCAGACTGCCACATCTTCCTCCCACGGAGCCGCTGGTAGGTTCAAACTGCCGACCTTTCTGTTAGCAGCCAAGTGCTTTAACCACTGCGCCACCAGATAGAGTTGAATAGTCTTATTTAATTATGTAAATCGAAGACACTTTATGGTCCTGTCCTATTTTGAATATGCATGTAAAGAAACACCAACCCAGCCAAAAGAAAATAAGAGGCAATTTAAGAATTATAAACAAAGGAGTGTTACATTAATAGCACACTGTAAAAAAGCTTTAAGAATCTTCTCTTCCTATCTCTTTCACCACCAGTTTATCCCACCCCCTGTAGCTGCCTTAAAGTTTCATCCATCGCCTACTACCAAAGTATCAGGATCCTGTCTGAAAATAGATGGCACACTTGAAAGGGGTGGCTGAATGAATTTAATAACGGGTTCATTACTAAGGCAGGGTCATGGAAGCTTCATAGATACATCCAAACTGCCTGAGGGACTGAATTACTGGGCTGAGGGGTGGGGACCGTGGTCTCTAGGGACATCTAGCTTAATTGGCAGAACATAGTCTAACTCACAAAAAAAGACCAGACTTACTGGTCTGACACAGACTGGAGAAACCCTGAGAGTATGGCCCCCGGACACTTTTAACTCAGTACTGAAGTCACTCCTGAGGTTCACCCTTCAACCAAAGTTTAGACAATCCCATAAAGACAAAATGGGCACACCAGCTCAGGGGCAAGGACGAGAAGGCAGGAGTGGACGGGAAAGCTGGTAACGGGGAGCCCAAGGTCGAGAAGGGCAGAGTGTTGACATGTCATGGGGTTGGCAAACCAATGTCACAAAACAATATGTGTATTAATGATTTAATGAGAAACTACTTTGCTCTGTAAACTTTTCATCTAAAGTACAATAATAAATGAAGTATGTAAAGAATGAAGAGAAACTAAGAGATGGAGTACCCTGTAGCTAGTAGTTTTAAGAAGCCATTATTCTACTACCAGGCTTGAAGGGGCAAGAAGAGGTAGTGGTTCCTGAAACCCAGCACGTCTTATAGGTGTAGTAGAAGGACACCCAACAGGAGCTGTGACCTTAGACTGGTAAATGTAGTCACTGCCAACCTAAACTTGTAAGGGGGTACAGCCTGGGAAATAAACACCCTTTCTTTCTTCCTGCCCTCTAATCTTCTGTTAATAGTTCCCATTAGCCAAACGCAACATAAAGACACAGGGCAAGGGAGATTGGTTGATGAAGCCCATAAACGTCAGTCTCTTGGGGTCACAGAGCAGGGTGGAGAAGAATTAGGGAGTGGATTTGGAAAGGAAATCAGAGACCATGTAGCACAATCAGCATTCCCAATCTCTTCAAACCCAGTCCATGCAGGCTTGCTTGCCTCTCCCCCCTGCCCCCTTTTGTGTTCTTTCAACTCAGCTCTTTTAATTTTCCTTTTCTCTGATTACTCAGATGTGTATGATAAAGGAGAGAACAAGTACATTTCATCATTAGAAGCAATAAGAAGATGGCAAATGCTTAGAACTTAACTACTTTTAAAATTGTCCCACTTAAGTTTGCTGTGATTGAAAACAACTAAAGACAAAAGGCAGCATAGGTATTGATTTAATTTTTGCTTCATGGGTATATTCATGTTTCAATTCCTCTTACAGTTAACTTTATTTCATGTAGATTTTTAAAAAACCAAATCTTTAGTTACTATGAAGGGTTTTATGGGTTGCACATGACTCCTCAGGAGCACAGGTGGTGCAGTGGTTAAAGCACTCAGCTGCTAACCAAAAGTTCGGCGGTTTGAACCCACCATCCACTCCACGGGAGAAAGATGTGGCAGTCTGCTTCTGTAAAGATTTACGGCCTTGGAAACCCTGTGGACCAGTTCTACTCTGTCCTTTACGGTCACTATGAGTTGGAATCGACTCGATAGCAGTGGGTTTGGTTTTGGTTTTTGGTATTATGACTCTTCATCTTTGTGCACATTATCAAAAGCACCCAATTGCTGTTTGGGAGCCTCCCAAGATGTAATCTGAAAGCTTTAGAAGTAAAACCTGAGTTCTAAATCATGCCTGGCTAATTCAATTCTAATTGTCCCCAGAAAAATATCACCCTAAGACCATTGCTATTTAAAATTAAATTTCAGGTCTTGCTTCCTTTCTAAACATAGAAAAGGATTCCCCTTCAGATTCTAATTCAGCCTGAAAACTTGACTTTTTTTTTTTTGGCATGTTGGCCAGTCCAGCAAATTTTGCTTAAAATTATTAATCTTATTTTAGATGAGAGGACATTATATTATAACCTAAAGCAATATATAGTCATAAATTTGTGCATTGTGCAACCCATATAAATGTGGACAATGTTAAGTATAAACCTACTTTAAGATTTTAAAATTAGAATCACCACTGATTTTATTTTCTACGTGAACTGCTGGCAGCCACTGTAATTGCACAGAACTATAAAATATAAGCAGAGTGGGGGAAATAAGTTTTTAATTCATCTTTGAGCTAGCATATTTTCACACAGAAGGCATTCCCATGGCCAGAAATGAAGATTTAAATAGCTCAAACCTATGAAATTCACATTAAATTCTGAAAGTCTTGTTAATATTCCGAATTTTATTAAAGTATTTCTGATACCAGATCTACTTCATTTGAAGTGAGTAGAATGACTGTAAAAGGTACTCTTTTGATATCTTAACAGGTTTCTACCTTCAGTGGGATAACTGCCAGTATATTCATACATCCTTCTATGGTAGATAGAATTCTAACATGATCCCCAAGTACCCATCTCTTATATAATCCTCACCCCTTCAGTGTGGAAGAGACCTTTGAATATGATGGGATATCGTTCCTGTGATTCGGTTATTTTATATGACACAGTTGATTTTAAGAAAGGAGGATTATCCAAAGTAGGCCTGACCTAATCAAGTGAGCCCTTTCAAAAGGCACAGAAAAGACTTCCAGTCCAGATAAGATAACTTAGACTCCTTTCTCCCTGCTCCTCCTATACGTACAACTCTAGGCCCTGAAAATAACATAAGAGACAACTAAAGGAGACCTCTGAATGTGGAAAGAAAAAGGTGAGTTAGTTAGGGACCCTGGAATGGAGGAACAACACAGTGAACCCCCTCCCCCACCCAACAGAAAAAGGTAACCCAAGCCCAGCATTTTCTGACTCCCAACTTAATGCCAGAAGGTGATCCATATACGCTCATTCCTTCCCCAGAGAAAATTGAGAGTTCCGCTGAAAACACCAGGCTGAGGCCAGCATAACCTGCAAGGGGGAAAAATTGGAAGCCCTGCTGACAATAAACAGTCAAGGAAAGTGCTCTCCTTCCTCCTGGGCATGAGATTCCCAGTCCCCACCCACACACACTGGCAAGGGGAATCCTGCCACAGCTGCCCAATTTGGGAAGTGCTCCCATCCCCCACAAGCAGGAGAGACCCTGCCTTTGCCCAGGAAGGGCACTATATCCCTGTAGGCCAGAGAGTCCCTTCCTCCACCTAGTGTCACCAGGTGTCCCTGACTAGAAGCTCTTTCTTTCCCCTTATGCAGCACCAGCAGGGACAAGTGGTAAGCCTACCTGCGCAAGACAAACCAAAGCTCTGAATATCAGATTGTCGCTGCAACCACAGCCTACAAAAGTACAGCAGGACCTGCATGATAACCTAAACAGGTCTAGGCCTGCTGAAAAACAGGGCCCAAAGTCTTCTAACATAATAGCTAAAATTTCCAAAATACAATACAAATGTCATCATTCCAAACCAGAGAAATCACAACATGATTCAGAAATGAAAATCAACTGATGCCAATCCCTAAATATAACAGATGTTGGAATTATCTGACAACAGTTTTAATGCCACCGTCACAAAAATAATTAAACAATTACAAATGCTCTTGAAGCAAATGAAAAAATAGAAACTCACAGCAAAGAAATGGAAATTATTAAAATTATTTAAAAAACCAAATGGAAATTATAGAACATAAAAATATAATAACAAACAAGAAACTCACTGATGGCTCAGTAGTAGGGTGAGATAACAGAAGATAGAATCAGTGAACTGGAAAACATCAATAGAATTTACCCAAAATGAACAACAGAGAGAAAAGACACTGAAAGAAAAAAATGAACAGAGCCTCAGAGATCTGAGGGATAGTGATAAAATATTCAAAATTTGTATAATCATAGTCCCAGAAAAAAGGAGAGAGTGGAGCTGAAAGAGTATTAGAAGAAATTGTTGTTGTTGTTATTAGTTGCCGTCGAGTTGATGGTGACTCTGAAAACTCCCCAAATGTGGCAAAAGGCACGCACAAATTCAAGAAACTTAGTGAACCCTGAATAGAACAAACCTAAGAAATCCACAGTATTATACATCATAATTAAACTTCTGAAACAAACAACAACAACAAAAATCTTACACGCCTACAGGGAGAAATGACTTATTACCTATAGAGGGGTACCAATAAGACTGACAGTTGATTTCTCATCTGAAACCTTGGAAGAAAGAAGGACGTGTCAGAACATTTTTCAAGTGCCGAAAGAAAAGAACTATCATTTGTAAATTCTATATCCTGCAAA